TGTGTGTGTGCCAGCACGGTGGACGTAAAGTGGGGGTAGCCAGGACGTCAGCACACGAAATGATTTCTGCGCACGCGCTCTGGTTGTTGGGAGTCGCGTTGGTAACGTAGATCTTACGGAAACACCCGAACGAGCCAGCTCACACGGATAGAAGCAAAGTATGCTTGTGTGGCAGAAACTGTGGAATAAAGTGGGGGTAGCCAGGACGTCGTGGTGGTGGAACCAAGTTCCACGATTCTGGAATCACTGCTTGGCTGTACCATCCGGTGCTTGGGTCGTTCAAGGAAGGTAGTGTTGTATAAAGCTCGAGTCTTTGAAGCTACAAAGCTTAGCCTTAAAGACTGAGTCTTTAAGGCTACAATCATATGAAGCTCGAGGCTCAAGGCTCGAGCTCCAAGGCTCGAGTCGTCGAGGCTCGAGGCTCGAGTTTCAAGGCTTTGAGTAGTCGAGACTCGAGCCTCGAAGCTCGAGGCTTTTATGTTTAACACGTTCACTGCTGAGCGTGTTTCTGCTGGTTTTGTCTTCAGCGCCAAAGAGTGATTGCCCATTAGAATCATATAATAATATATTACACAATATGATTATATGTATTGTGCAAACTTATCATGCGTAGTACATTAATCTTGCTGCCGGTCATCTATGACTCCCACGGCGTAAGAGTATGTTTCCAGTCGATCAGATAATACTATATTTTGAACATTACAGACAAATTTTTAGCAATGTTTCATTTCGTCTACTATTCAATGGTTATTTTGTTTCATTTTTCATTTCCCTTTCTTGGTATCAATCTCTCATGTGTTTGCAGTCATCGCTGTATTTTTTAAAAACTGTATAAAGTATAATATTATAGATTTAGTGTAAATTCCATTATTTAACACTTAAGGGTTCTAGAGGGTTGAACCTTAAAGCTTCAGACTTAATGTGGAATAACACAGTGACGATTGGCAAAAATTAAGTTTTTTATATATATACTTTCAAAGTATAATTTTTCGAAAATATTCTACCAGAATATTAAGTCGAATATCACGTGAATAACGAAAAAAATGTCCCAACTTTGATCAATGAACCGTGAACAAATTGAGAAATTATTTTGTTCGACGCGTAACATCCTATGACTCGTATATCTTGCTCAAGTATACATAGGTATTTTGTAATAAAAGAAAATTTAACGTATTGTCCAAAATATATATTTGATCACCCTATTAATAATAGTTTAATGAGGTTTGGGTGTTGCAGAACTAATTTATAAAAACCACGCTTTTCTGGACGTTTTTGGATTATTCCCCCTTGAATCTTTAAAAGCTTGAGATTCGTGTAATATTAGAGTTAAAAACTAAAAATTTTTAGGTTAAGTTTTAAGGCTTCGAAAATTCAAGGTCTGTACATTACTTCACTACATACAATTTATACGACTCGAGCCTTCAAGCTTAAAGGCTCGAGCGTTAAAGACTCGAGCTTTCACGACTCAAGCTTCGAACCTTGAGGGTTCGAGCCTTTAGGGTTTGAACCGCGACTCGAGCTGTTAAAGCTCAAGACTCGAGGCTCATTTTAACAACACTAACTACATGCATACGGAATTTTTAACGTATAATAAGTATATTCTTTTCATCTCTCATAGCATACATGTATGTAACGTGATTGTATACCCGAATAGCATCGGAAAGGAACGAAGTTACCCGATTTATAACTAACCATCCCCTTACCGCGAATCTTACTCCCCCGCTCAGTTCATGTTCCGTCTATATATGTCTATGCTTGCGCTCAACTTGACATCAACTTTGTAGCAAGAGTTTCTGGCAACTTGCTTAAATATGTTGACTCAAGTGTTGCCTACAAAACCGTAGTCAAATGCGGAAACAGATGGCTACGGTTTTGTAGACAACACTTGTACTTTATTGCTGGCAACTTGCTCGAAACTTGCACACAACTGGTTATCAGGGTATGACATTTTGAGGGCAAAATCGGAACAAGGCTTGCGCAAGCGAATTTGCTACATATGTTGCTGCCAATTTGCTCCCTATGTTGCTGTCAATGTGCGCGCAAGCTGTTTATAGCAAATCTTGCATAAAATTTGTAGCCATAACTTTATAACAGGCATTGGACAAAATTTGGCTTTGCAGGCTTGGCTGACTGGCAACTTTTGTGATTATTTTCGAATCTCGTAGACAACTGGTTATCAGAATGTATATTTCTGTTAACAAAATGCGATAAACGCATTGTTCGTTTTTTTAATGCTTAATCATTCTTTTCAAACATATGTTGCGCGTTGTGACAAACTTAGTTCGTGAAAAAGTTTTGTCTCCTATCTCTTGAACAATTAAAATTGTTATATCGTGCATACACTCAATTTTGTAACTGTAGCTCTATTCTTATACCTTGTCTATTATAGGATGCTATGTGAAAGCAATAAGTGGAAGAGAAATTTTATTAAAAATACTATATAGTGCTGCATTAATTCAGTTTTTTATCACATATAATGTATAAAATAGAATTTTTTATATTTTTTATAAAATTGAATTCCTTTTTCTCACGAGAGGTCACAATTTCTGCAGAAATGTAATATAATCATTTAAATCTTCATAAACTTTAAAGGGTTACGCAAATATTGGAGAAATAACTGTCTCAATTTTTATAATCTCACAGTTACAGATTAACCAAAGGCAAAATCTTTGAATTTAATGTCACATTATCAAAATAGTGTTAAGAAATATTTATTATTATATACATTGTTTAGTTCTGCCATAATCTTAAAACTTTGTCTTTTCCACCAGACCCAACACGCAATCCATCTGGAGACCAGTCTACTGCATAAACTTCATCGGCATGGCCAGGTAAATCTTGGCAGAGTTTCTTTGTTTTCATATTCCACACTAAAATAGCAAGGTGATGCTAGTTTAAAACTGACGTTATTGTTTACCTAATATATAAGTAGAATTTACTAACCTTTTAATGTAGAATCCGCGCTACCGCTAACAAGCAAGCGAGAATCTGCACTCCAAGCAATTGAATACACAGCTTGTACATGGCCTCTTAACGAAGCTATATACTTTCCTGTATTAGATTCCCACAATTTTATAGATTTATCAAAGGAAGCTGATGCTATTATACGACCATTTGGTGAAAATTTTACATCGTTTATTAATTGCTGATGGCCAGTCATTCTTGCTAGAACATAAATTGAGATCCATGGGTGAACTTTTGAAACCCACAACATGCTTTTCACTTTATTATGATAATTATATTTGTAAGACAATAAATAGTACCAATAGTTTTTTTTTCCTTTTGTGGTTTCCAAAGGAATAATGTGAAATCATCAGAACCAGATACAAGTATTTCTTCGCCGACGGATTCATATCGCTTTTTTGCATGTTCCAATGTATTCTCCGTTTTATCTGCATTCTTTCCAAGATGGTAAAGGCCAGTCCTAAGTACATAGTCTACATTCAGAGCTAATGTATTCACCCAATGTGCATGACCTTCCAAAGTTCTGCACAGGATTCCCTAGGTGTATCATACTAATTTTAATCAAATGTTTCTAATACAACAATATAGCATTTGTAAGGCTTACATCTTCAGCTCTCCACACTTTAATAGTCCTATCTTGAGATGCAGAGTAAATAAGTCCACTTCCACCCCATTTAACACATGTCACGCTTTTTGTGTGACCAGAAAGAACACGAACTGTTTGACAGTGAACAGTGTCCCATATTCTTAAATCGCCATCCTTGGAAGCACTAACTAAATATTGACATTCTGGATTTTTATGATAAGGCTCCCAGCATAAAGATGTAACCCACATTTTGTGACCTGACATTGGTCTTCCTAAGAGTTTGTACAAATTAAATAACTATGAATGAATGAATTTCTATTTTGCTGGAGATGATACTTTATTATATGTACCTATTTGTTTGCCTGTTTTTGGATCCCATAATATAATTGTCCCATATTTACATGCAGAAGCAAGTTTCCTTCCACATGGAGACCACGATATGCATAAAACCCAATGCCTATGACCTTCACAAGTATAGTTTGGAGTTTGTGTGTAGATATCCCAAAATCTAACTGTAGTATCTCCAGAACCACTTGCTAAGCTAGATCCATCTGGTGAAAAAGCAACTGTTATCACAGCTTCCTTGTGACCTAAGTGGAATAATATCATTATTAATACTATATTACATATACTATTGCGTAAGAGTGTATTAATATGATTAACATACCCTCTAATGAACCAGTACATCTAGTAACTGCTCTAACTTTAAAAACTGCTTGTGGTTGATAGACAATTTCCACTAGATCCTCACTAATGTTAAAATTTTCGTTGATATTTTTTTCTAAACTATCTGTAATCTCTGTATCATTTACATAGAAAGCAAAAGGTACTGATTCTTTATTTTGTAGAAGCGCATTACAAATTGCTTGTAGTTTGTCAATAGTAATGTTTATAGGTAAATCTAGTAAACCGCCTGGTAGTATTTCGCCAGTGTCCGACTTAAAACGAGATAGAATTCGTTTAATTTCTGTTGTTTCTGAAGCGGATTTACCGCTATTTTGCTTATCCCTGTTCTCTTCCTCGAATTTCCTTTTACCCATTTTCACGGACATAATTAAATGTTTGAATGAAAACCATTAATAGCATCAAAATGTATTAAATATTGGTTCGAAGACGTATTACATATTTTTTACATTCATTTTATAAATAATCCTTCACAGAAAATAATGAAACGCACTCACGTGCAAATCTGTGCAAATCACTGTAAATAGACATTACCATGGGGATACAACTCACCGGTTTTTCTTGGTCATTTTACAGCGCTATAGGTGGTAAGGATCAGTACTAAAAGAGTGCGTGAAAATTCGGGGCATGTTTAAATTTTGCTATGATTTATAACAGACAAGACACTGAGTGAGTGGTGGCTACTGTATGAGTATTTTAAATATGTTTATTAAAATTATTACTTAATATACATACAGTATGTCCACTGCCCACCCTCTTACCGCAAATCTTACTCTATGCCAGCTGTATTGGGACCAGGGGTGTTCCATTCGAATAGGACGACTATTAACACGAGTTTAGTACCCCCACATCTTAGAAGGGTGCTCTGAAAGCAGTTTTATTTCTCGAATTTTGTACTAGGTGGCACTCACAGCGTTATTAAGTGGGGATAGTAATACCACAGCCCACTAGAGTCGGTTGTGCCGACGTATATCTAACGACCGCTGTCTTTTCCCCTCCAATCCTACGGTCCTTCGATTACTGACGAAATAATCAACAACTAATGACAACAATTAAAACATGATACTGTATAAAGGGTTCAGAGATTCATCCGACCATCTCACGTATTCTACAATTCTCGCAGTTCCATTAACTTGAAATGCATTTTGGCGTACTGATGAATATACTAACCAGTTTAGAAAAAAAAATTAATTTTTAATCTGGAAATTATTTATTAGATCAATGAATAATTCGGTATACGGTTCATGTGGTATCCCATTTACCGCAATTTGTATCCTGTCGACCGAAACCAGGGACCTCTTAAACATAGATAAGACGAGGATGTGCCGTAAAAGAGGAGAACCGCACGTGCGAGAAGGAGAGACTTATGCGATGGTTTTCGCACAGTCGAGCAGAATCGGCGTCCCTATGTTGCTGCTATAGTGGGGGAGATTGTTTCGCTATTCGTTCAAGGGACGACGATAGCACCACTGAACAATGACCGATACACGCTGGCTGTTGACAGACTGGTGACCAATTGTGTTTATTACTCATTTCACTGACAGTAAAATACATCACTTTTACCATCAAACGTTCAAACGCGCAAATTTGGTTGCTTGTCGAGTACTGCAATAAATGTTAAACTGAATGTGGTTCTTTCATGTAAGTGTGGCATAAGTTTCAGTGACTTCTATGGTCAAGTGGTGGGGGGCCCTTCCCCTATGCTGCTTTTCCCCCAACGGAAGTCAACTTTGCTCGTGGATGTACAGCTATTAGAGTTATTAGACCATGAGCGTTTCTGTCGCAAAGCGCCACATGTGACGTAGACCTGAAGCTTATCTCTGACCACCCATTTTCTTAAGAGTGGCAGATAAATAGTAATCTGTAGTAATCCATGATATATGGTGATCAATGGTGATATATGGCTATGTAGTTTCGTTTATTTTGTTCAAACCTCCTATATTTCATCGTTAAGATTCGTTCCTTCGTTATTGCAAAGTGGTCTTTCAAATTTCAGGATGTTCCAGGCACTCTAGCAGACGTCAATGACGTATTAAATATTTCGTTTAACGTTTAAATGATTAATTTTCGGTCGAATATATAGATTCAAAATTGTACGGTTATGTTCTGCTTTGTTATTGCATATATAGTATCATGTATTTAAAATGTATTTCTTGAATAAATCTCGCGAAATAGATAAAACAAAGTACGATGACAGTATTCGAACGAAAAATGAATACGAATCCATTATAAGACTGATTAAATGTACATGTATAAATGAGCAATATAGTCTTTTGATTTTATCAAGTCTATGTATATAGATAATGATCTGTACAATCAATCGTCGATTTATCGTTAATTATTGGTAGTACAGCTGGACATTAATTCTTTTAACAGTACAGAAAACACATTATATTCTCGTAAATTTTAAATATGTTATAACAAATTGTAGAGATGCGATTTTCTGATTTATTCAAATTATTCTTATTATTGAATTTGATATTAGATAGAGTTAGAGCATGTAGAATATAATGAATAGACAGCATACAATGGACTTTATCATTGTGTCAAATTTAACATTTACAACAATGTGAATAAGAGTATTATTTATTTAACTGTGCATAGTTTCTTTGCAAAAAGAAATGACAAAGCTATTTCTTGCATAATACTTGAACAATTAATATAAAAACAGATACAGAAATGGCATCTACTGATGTTGATGATTTATTATCAGGTCCATTGGTGACATGGGTAAGTTCCTCTTTTTATCACTGTATTTCTTAGACATCAATAATTCAAAGTAATGTTTAATAATAGTTTACAATAAGTGTACATTTAATATATTTTTTTTCTGACAGTTCACCAGTTGTCTGGAGGATTCTAATTTATTAACTAGTTATGACGATTTGGTAGATGGTATGTTGTTACATAATGTATTTTTACAAATGTAAGTACATTAATACAATTGAATTTTCATAAATTTTTATTTGTTCTGGATGATAAGATTTACTTATGTATCTTATATGTTTACAGAGATCCAGAGCCATTACACGATGAAATTATAGCTCCAGAAGGGAGTTCATTAATTCGTGCAAAAAATTTGAAAATTATTGTAGATAATATGAAGCAATTTTATGAAGAAGAATTAGGTCACTTAGTTTTAAGGATACCGGATACAACGAATTTAGGAAAAGAGTCAGAACTGTATGTCTCGGAAATGAAACTGTTATTGCTCTTACTTCTTGGTTGTGCTGTGCAGTGTCCTAACAAAGAAAAATTCATTACAAAAATAAAGACATTAAATGTTGACACACAACTTGCAATAGTGGAATGTATTAAGCAAGTATGTTTCTTGGTATAATTATCCATCTATTTTTTATGCAGTAGTATTGTGATAATGTAGATTGACAGCTTTGATATTATGTTATTAGGTCACAGATTATCAAGACATAGTTATAACTCAGGATGCGATGGAGAATGTAAATATGGGTAATTTATTTGTGCAGATAAAGAAATTGACTCAAGAATTAGATGTATATCGTCAGGTATGTTGAATAATAGTAATCAATATTATTACTAAAGTATTAATAAAACGGAAAAATATTGGTTAATAGAAATGGAGAGATACAGCTGTAAACGAAAGCATTGAAAGAAACAATGCCTCTAATAGCGCAGAACCAGAAGAAATGAGTAAAGTTCAGTTGTCTAATCCTGTTAATAAATCAGAACGTGAAGATAATCACCATTATGCAGTTGAATTGGCAGATTGGAAATCCAAAGTTAGAAAACAACGACAAGAATTGTATGTACAAATATTTAACAATGATGTAGTATCTTTACATTTCATTATGATGTTTTATTTGTAGGGAAGAGAAAACGGAAGCATTGTTAGAATGTAAAGAAGAGCTTGAATATCATAAAATACTTGTGACTAAACTAAAACAAGAGAATCAAGATTTGATGCATGAAGCACGCACTGCAAAATCGTATAGAGACGAATTGGATGCAGTAATTGAAAGAGCAGATCGTGCTGATCGTTTAGAGCAAGAAGTTGTAAGATACAGAGAGAAACTTACGGACATTGAATTTTATAAGACCCGTATCGAAGAGCTAAGGGAAGATAACAGGTATTTTGTTTGATTAATACATTTATTAGATTTCTTTCATACAATTATTTCGTTCCAGAGTCTTGATGGAGACTCGAGAAATGCTCGAAGACCAGTTAAATTCATCTAGACGAAGAGCAGATAAAGTGTTAGAACTTGAGTCGGAAATAATTAAATATAAACAATTATTGAACGATATGGCACTGGTACATGCGAGGAAATTTATAATTCGTTGGTTTATGTCTAATTTGAATTTGAATAAATTCAATATTACATTTTCCAGGAACGAGCAGCAGACAAAGAAAAATACCAAGAACTTGTTGACGAAAATATCCAATTGCACAAATTAACAAAGGCTGCAGCAAATGAAGCTGCATTAGCTGATTCCATAAGTGATTCTGATGAACCAGGTGAGGATAAATTGTTTTTAATACATACAAAGCATTTTTACTTCTCTTTTCTTAAATTGAACGTATATTTAAATTTCATTTAGCGCACGCTGATAATAGATTGTCTGAACAGTTGACAAATAACGCTCAAACGCGAGCGTTAAAACTAGAGTTAGAAAATCGACGATTACTAACCTTAATAGATTCTTTGAAAGAGAATTCATTTCATGAGAATTCGTCTCGTGTGTTGGACTTAGAGAAGGAAAAGAAGAAGCAGTCTCTAAAAGTTGAATCATTGAACGATAATATTGAAAGACTTACGCAACAGAACTCCGATTTAGAATTAGTGTGGAAGCAGGCTCTTGAAGAGAACAAGAAGTTACAGAATTCGTTGAAAAGTCAAAGAACATCGTCTGAAAAACAGCAGCAAGAATATCAAGTATGTCAATACTTATTGTACGTTATTTCAGAAGGTAACACTGTTTATGAGAGTCATAGACGCTGAAATGCGTTTTCATTTGTTATTAAGCCAGCATATTTGTTAGGGACAGCGTACTTGCTCTGTTGAGCTCAAACTGTCACAAGTCGTAGTGAATAAATTACCTTTATCTGTTGTAATTAAAGTTTGTGCCCTTTAGGAAGGCTCTATTACACATGAAAATACATTACGAATGTCTTTTTTAGGCTCAACATACAAAGATGATAGAATTGGAGAAAAATTCTGACACGGCAGTGAAAGAAAAGCAACGAGTTCAATCTTTGTTGGAAAGCGTACAAAGGCGAGCAGATGACCTGGAACGGTCTGCAGAGCTTGCCAATCAGAAATTGGAGGAATTAAAGATTATGGAGAGTAACGTAAACGAACTTAGCACCAAGTGTCTTGACCTTGAGTCAAAACTTACGACAGTAGAGAAAGAGAAGGACGTAGCACAACGTGATATTCATCGGTACAGGGAGACGATAGAGGTGTGAATGTCAATAGTTTCATTAAGTATATTAATTATCCTATCGAATTTATTAATAAGTAATATTCAATTTTAGGAGAAAGATGTTGCACTGGATAAAGCAGCGAATTGCATTGAAGTTTTAGAACGGAAAGTGACGCAACTTGAACAGGAACTTTTCGATTCTGTCGCACAAATTTCAAGGTACATAATGTTTCATTCGAGATATGTTTATCAATCTGTTAGAAGCATTTTTATTGCAAAATTATTTATTTTGTCAGATTGCAGGAAATTGAAAGATCTAGTAAGGAATTGGATTCACGGGCAGCTATTGACAGGGAGACATTAGAAATTCTGCAATCTAGTTTAGTAGCTGAAAAATTGAATACCCAACAATTATACACAATTTTGGAAAAACTTGGACTTAGTGATAATATGCTGTTCTCGCTTCCGTTAGACAACATCCTCCAAAAGTAACTAAATTCATGAGCAAAAGATTCAATGATTGAAATTAGAGTTAAGATTAAGTATGATTCGATAATTACAGGATTGCACAAATTCCAGAAGTCGTTGATTATGCGAAGCAGATAACTAATTCTTGTTCCTGTGAAAAATTAGTCTCTGAATCTGCAACTATTGAGAATAATGAAACAATTGATATCCATAGTACATTAGAGGCAACTGTAGAATCACTTAAGGTACTTAAGTAATTATACGTAATGAATTTACATAAATTTTATAGTTTACGATACGTTTTTATACATAGAATGTGGTTTTAGAAAGAGCAAGAGCATTTGCATATTAAATTAGTTAGTACGCAAACAGCATTAGAGAATCTTTTGTCTGAAAATGCAAAGCTTCAAGTACATATTACAACGTTACAATCTCAAAACAATTCCCTGGCAGCACAACATACCGCTTTGCAACTTGCAAATTCACAACTTGCTGCTGAGAAAGAAGAGGTAAGTACTCGTTATCTTAGCCTTGTAACTTGTAATTGGTAGGCGGTACATTGATTTAAAATGTACGAACTTTTTCTTGATATTTATGAATTAATTTTCTTTGTTTCGATTTAGTTGTTGAAAGAGCGTACTGCTCAGCAGCAAACGCATACTCAGCTTCTTCATGATCAGGACACTTTGCAGTCTTTACACGAACAATTAAATAACGAATATGAAAATCTATTCTACGAGCACGATGCTTTAAAATCAAATTTACGGGACGTAAAGAATGAAATTAGAATATTACGCGAATCTTACGAAGGACTCGAAGGGAAAAATAAAGCACTTCAATCGGAAAAGGAATCATTAATAAATAATGCAAAAAGTTTGAATAATTTGAGGGGAGAACACTCAAAATTAAAGGTACAATGTAATATAAAATGGTTATTTGATAAATTTATTAATACGTATTGATTTTAGGATGACTTTAGAAATCTATACACAGCTACGGAAAAATTAAAAATGGAATACAGAAACTTGCAAGAAGATTACCGAAAAAACAAAGTTGAGACGAATCGAGTGAGTCTTAAATTAACCGAAATGCAAGGAGAACTTAGCAGCAGAGACGAAAGGTGTTCCAATTTGGAACTTCAATTTAACAAACTCAATAAGTGTTGTGAAGTACGAATAAATTTTCCGTCAAATTAACAGTTAATGCTTTCCATATAATTTTATTATTTTCACATTCTATATTTTGATTCTAGATGCTGCTGCACATGAATGCTGGATTAGACAAAGACAAACGTTCATTAATGGATCATATTAGTTTATTATTTTCTCAGTATCATGAACTTTTGACTCGATCTCTCGAAGATAAGGAACAGTATCACATGGAAGAGAAGATGTACACGTTAGTATTTAATGTAATTAAACTTATATCGAGTAAAGTAACTAAATTTAATTATTGGATTATTACAGAGATAAAGTGAATCACTTGTATAGACAAAAGGAAAAGTTAGAGGATAAGATTATGGAGCATTACAGGAAACTGGATAGTTGTACCCCCAAGAAGTAAGTTATATGTGTGTGTATATATATATATATATATATATATATATATATATATATATATATATATATATATATATATAACTAATAATTGTATAATATTATTCTGATTTTTATAATTCTCGAAGGAAAGGCTTCGGGGCCAATTTAGTAAGAAGAGTCAGAAAGGCTGGGTCAGAGCTGCTCAATAAGGTAAAGAGTTTAACGCGTATACTTACAGAAATAAAAATAAGTTTCATAAACATAAAATCATTCGGGTGATTTAGAATCGAAGATCGTGGGCAGAGGATTCCAAGCATTCTGAAGGGAAAACATATGAATCAGAATCTGGAGGAAATGATTCAGATGCTAGTACAGAAGATCATTTAGCAGGTAAACACGCATCTTAAACTATTATTTATCATAAATCATAAATTATGGTTTTTTAAGGCTCAGCTAGTAGAAGCCTTGGGTCCGATGTATTGTCTCTTGGTCATCCAGGAACAAGAAGGACTGTATATTATACCGATGATTCTCCGCCGCCATCGACTGCCTTACCCGTATATATTACTTCTTAATTAGTATATAATTTTATTTGATATTAGATAAATTAATTTGCCGGAATTATTGTAGGAACAGGGTGATGATACACCTTCAATATTGACGGATGAGCCTCCAAGACCAGAGGTACAAGCAGAACCTCGTCCAGTTCTTATATATAATAAGGTCTCAGCAGTTATAAACGAATCAAAAAATATGAACAGTAGCGAAATGAAGGAGGTAGGGCAAGAGGAGGCGATTATGGAGACTCCTATGGATAAAGATCCGAAGGCGGGAAGTCCTGTGTGGTACGAATACGGTTGTGTATAATTCGACGTTGCTTCTCTTCATTCGTGGGTTCATTACGTCCCATTTTTTTATCATATTCAAATATATTCATATGATTTAATATTTCATAACAGTGTTTACAACACTTGCATTTTTTAAATGCCTAAAGATAATGGTAATTTGAATCGAGTGTCTACGAGTTCCTAGAATCTTTTTGCGTAAGTAAAATTGTCAAATTTAATATTTATTTTTTGTTCAATATGTTTCTATTACATTACCGATGCATTTGTATCGATGTGCATTCATCAACAATTTTACGTGTAGTTTATGTACGCAGTAATGTGGTATGAATATTTTCCAAGTATAGTGTAACACTTATTGTATACTATTAAGAACATGACATAAATATTAATTAAATTCGTTTTTTTTTGTATTACAAACTGTTCAAACGATTGTAATATCACATTTTTTTCTGGATTTTATAAAACATGAAATAACAACTACATCTCTAAAAAAAAGCTTATAATTATGAAACCATGTCTGTATCCTGTTATCCAACCGTTGCACTTAATAATAACAGAATTGTACGTTGTTTTTCGTTGACGTAGTCTCTAACTGCAGAGATAGTAATGGATTTGTTCGTGGATGATGCACCTTGACAAAATCTCACGGTCTCAGTCTCAAACGTCCTATTACCGAGGGACACGTACCTCAGAATTTTTTGTTATTTCCCTACGGTAGGGAGAAGTAGCTTGTGACCAAAAAAAACTGTCCACCGTCTGCTCCCAACCCCTTCTGAATTACTTGCTTCTCAGGCTTTCGAAATTAGCATATGCCGCGGTATCCAAGGAATTATATTGCCACTACACAGGTCAGATACGACCAATTTTTTTTTTTTGTTCGCTTCTGCTCTCATTGTCATAAGTGAAATAGACCATTAGGTATCGTACACTAATACGCTGGTGTAATTCCCAATGTAATCAATGTAAATACCAATACAAGTTCGTTCCATTCATTTTACAAGAAACCAGCAGTTCTTTTTTGTCAAGACTAACGAACGTCTGGTCTTTTTTAACCTGCTCCTCGATAATAAAGACAAAACAAAAAATTCTGCTCGCAAAATCGCTCTCGCCAGCTTTTTGTATTCACTGGGGTAAAAATCTTTCCCTCTATTTCTGCTAGCACAAGAAGATAGAGCTACGAAGTGAGAATGGTACGGAGAGGTGGATAACGGTAACAGTCGAGGGTGGAACGATGTAAAAATAAGACGAGCGAGAACAAGGAAAAGAAGAACAATGCTGCGGATGAGGGTAATGGCAAGAAAATAAATTGTAGATACGAATTTTTTGGATAACCCGGGGGTTGTTGGGCTGAGTAACCGGCTAAAATGTTGACTGTTCGCGGGCCGAATGGTGGGGGCAAAGAGGTTGTACGTTCTTTCCAGGAGGGTGCATACGACGAGGGGAGTAAAGATAGGTTTTTGTAAGGCGTCTTCTTTCTCTCTTACCACCATTCACGGTTCACGGTGATGGCGAAGATGGTAGAGATGGCGGGATCAGGGTTTTTGCACCCAGCATCCAAGGGCTAAGGAGGGGCATATATGTTTTACATACACAGCCAGCATGTAGTTACCTATGTAGAGAAAATGATAAAACATAGATAGTGGTGGATGCCATGATTCTTCTACACAGAAATTATCTAGCGATTCTGTGTATGTACACAAGTATATTGAATAATCTGTTAAACAAACGTAACAGGATATTAATAACAGAATTCTTTTTCACTAGCAGATTCGATTATAGTAATTATAACGATATCGTCTGGTCATTGTATATCATTGACCAGGGAATCTGAGAATCGGAAGATTTACGTGGAGCGGTTAACTATCGTTATTCATCGTTCTGTGGGAGGGAGAAATTATCCCAATGGTGGCGATTGGTGGGGGGAGGGTAACCGCACGTGAATGTGAAAGAAGAGGGGGGAAGCATTGCACGTTGTGTGTGGCCAAGTAGAGGGGGCACAGCACAGACACGCAGTGGAATCATTCGATGGCCGGCAATGCGCGCCGCGTCATCGTTCCGAGTGTCTTGCTGTCGCTTTTCGAAGTGTTAACACGATTTTTTCTTAAACCTTTACCGTTTCGTTTATCTATTGGATCGTTTCGAACGTATCACGTTCCTTAACCCCCGTGTAACGATCACAGTTCCGCTATAAACAGACTGAAAAGCCCACCTATTAGCGTTCACTACAGTGAGTTTAAAATATTTAACGACAAACCGAAGTTATTTCTCCTGCGGTAATTGACGCCGCGACTACGGTCGAGTTACAACTACGCTCGTATCCTCTTTCTCTTTTCTTTTCACTCAACCACCCGGCCAGTCCTGTTCCTCTCTCTTTCTCTCTCTCTCTCTCTCTCTCTCTCTCTCTCTCTCTCTCTCTATTCAAGCCTACATGTGTTCATCTATCATGACGATCGACCGAACGCACTGAATCAATTTCACGTCACCGTCAGGGGTCATGTAGAAGAGAGTCTCTGATGTGCGGTCGGCTCTTTAAATGTGGAAACCTTTCGATGAGTCTCAGCGTTGTCCTCACGCCAGCTGAAGAGAAGAAGAACAACTCGTCGAATATGGAGAGTCGCGTGGAGGAGACGAATGTGTCACCGGCGGTTACCACGACACGGGCGATTGGGACACCGTCCCCGGTACCAACAGCGCCCATCAACGTTGTCCCCGCTGCCGCCGCAGCCGCTGGTGCACTGACATCCCTTACTTCCGCCTCCTGCTCCATCCAGAATCCCGTGGTCGTGGTCGCGAGCACTCCCATCAAGCATCAGCAAACCGCGCCCGGACTGTCCTCCGTTGCTGCCATCCCTCCTGTCTCGGCTGTCAATCCTGTCAACGCTGCCAACACCGGTCTACCCAAGATATTCAGCAGAAACGTCAACGGCACGCGTAAGTCTCACACGATTATTTCGATTCTCCACTCTTTTCGTCGGTGAATGCTATCTTGGATGGATTTTGTCGCGTGTGTTTGATAGCACCTGCGGTGTCCCTTTAGTTAGCGTTTTGGATTATTATGTCGTAAGTTGCAACAGGAATTTTAACGAGTCAACATACATTGTCGTTAGATCGCTGGTATTGTGTTAATAGATTTTCATTGTATTTAGGACCTGCTAGAATCTTGACATAGTTAACGAATTTTTATTTGTTGCGGGTTTACGTGAATAAATATTTAAAGATCGATATTTGCATAAAGAATCGCTCTCTTATTACGATTCTACTTTATCGTGTGGTGTTGTCATTTCAATACCGATATTATCCTGTGTGTTACACAAATGAAAATTTGATGAGAAGGAAAGTGATTGAAAGCTGTACTGTTTTTTGGAGACGGTATAGTATAAGGATTAAGAGGCATTCTGGGAGGATATTTCGGTGAATTGTTAAGGGCATGTGTAAGACTTCTTTGTTTCTTTTATCGAACAAAAATCTATGTTGATATCTCCAATGCTTGCATCGATTTCTCTCACTTTTTGGGAGGAAGTAGAATTGTTTCTGATTATTTCTGACGTAACTATTGTAGTATGAGAGATACATGTTACATATTAAGTAAGTTAAAAGAAACAATTTCTTATCCCCTATGCACTTGAACTGAATTCTCTTTGTTTTTAGAAGAAAGGTGAATTATTTTTTATACTTTTTGCGTGTATGTTTAGTACATGAGATTGGTTATATTACGCTGTTCAATACGTAAACAATTGTCTAATTTTCAATAGGCGTTTCTGATAGATCTTTATGAGCTGAATACGCATCTGCAAACCGTTTTTTTTTCAACACATCCAGTTTTTGAAAAAATCAATTTTTTTTTATAATTGTATATTTTCAACTCTGCAACTGTGTTGTGCTTTTACAGTAATAGTTATTCAATTTCTTTAGACACGAGATAATTCTCTGAATTGTTACGACCGAAATCATATAAATTGTTATTATATTATAGACATCTAAATGTGTTTAAATAATGTTCAAAGTGAAAAGGACACCGAGAATACACCAATTTTTGTTGATATGCTTCAATTTATTTAAAAAATTAAGGGTGTAAGAGAAAATGTAACCATAGCACGCGATAGAGTAGACGTTTCTGCTGTGGAAGGTGTCAGAGAAAGTTACAAAATATATTTTGTTTTCAATAGAGAAGCGAAATAGTTCAGCAAAACACGCGGGCGCGAGAGTAGTACTCAATGACGGCGGTCGCCTTGTCTGCCACTCATTGTCAGCGGAAGCGCTAAACACGCGCGGGCAATGCGACCGCCGTTATTGAGTACCACCGTCGCCGCCACGTGTTTCGCTGAGTTATTTCGCTTCTCTATTGAAAACGAAACATATTTTGTAACTTTCCTTGACACCTTCTTCGGCAGAAAGGTGTCATCTATCGCTTGCTATGGATAGATTTTCTCCTTGACCCTTAGTTTTTTAAATGAATTGAACAACTGGTGTGTTTTCGGTGTCCTTTTCATTTGGAATGTTATTTAAACATATTTAGATGTCTATACTATAATAATAATGTATATCATTTTAATTGGAAGAATCTAGAAAATTATTTCGTGTAAAAAAAAAACTGAATAATTATATTATTACTGTAAAAGCACAATACAGCTCCATAGTTGAAAATATGAATTTTTTTTAGATTTGTATTCAAGTTATAAAGATCTAGCAGAATCGCGTATTGGAGGTTACAAAAACGAAAAATGTTAAAATTTGTTGAACAGTGTTATTAGACGAATAATTAGTAAGTAGGTTAGTATTTACGATAGAAAATCTAAAAGGTACCTAGGTTTGGTACATTTAATGAAGATGCTTCGTTTTATTTGGGATAATTCTAACGTATCTTCTGAACTTCGAACAGTAACCAATAGAAAAAGTATCAGTCTGTTAGTCATCAGGAACAATGAGTTAAATTCTCACTTTGATTACACTTAAACTTTCAGTGATTATCCGGATTTTTATTTATTTAATTACTGATTCTTGTACTTTATCGTATTATAA